TGGAAGGATCCAACTGTCTTTTCCTGAGACAAAGACACCAGGGAGTTCTTTATATCTCCTCTGAGCTTTGAGACGCCTCCTGAGGGCACAACTGCTTTGATGACCCACTTAAAACAGATAATCAAAGAATAGGCAGTGGTTTCCAACTTTGAAAACTTGAGGAAGGGACTTTCCTTCCTAGAGATTATATTGTCCTAATCTATTAAATAAAAATTTCAACAACTGCAGGAGTGAACATCATAGAAAAATACAGAAAGATAGAAATTAATCAGAAGAAAAGCCCGTGGCTTAACACACCCATACAGAGATGGGTCCAGGCTAGCAACGTAGCCCAGAAGTAACGCACTTGCCTGCTATGTGTGAAGTCCTGGGTTTGTTCTTGTAGCACAGCAACCGCCTCAACAGTGCAGTGTGGCCTGTCACTCACAGTACAAGGAAGGAGAAATGCTGAGCAGAATGATCATTGTACAGGACTGAGTCAGACAGATGCCACCTTCTGATCTCAGCTACACCCGCTTACCAAAGATCGTCACAGCTGGGTTTGTTGACTACTGATGCCCCTGCATAGAAGGAGGGGCAGGGAGGGTCATGGGACCCGCACCTGTGTATCCACACACCTCCCAACTAGTGGTGGGCAATTCAGTCCTAAGTGTACATGGCCCTAGGGAAGCTCTATACATAGAATGGGGAAGACCAAGGTTGGGGGGGGGACGATGACATGGGACACAGATTCCATTTATGCTTTCATCCATGTTTCGGTGAAGACTTTCTGGTGTGGCCTTAGGGGGGGAGCACCCACACTCCTGTAAGCAACTCCTTACCCCTTGCTCAGTAAGTAAGCCCCCAAAACTCCTTGGTTTCTGTGTTGGCTACTTTTGTATTGCTGTGATAAGACACCATGACCAAGGCAACTTAGAGAAGGAAGAGTTTATTTGGCTTGCAGGCCCAACAGGAGAGTCTGTAATGGCAGGGGAGACATGACAGCAGAAGGTAGTCAGAACACAAAGCTAAGCATTCACATCTTCAAGCAGGCACAGGAAGCAGAAAGAGACCAGAGATTTGGCAAGGCTTAAGAACTCTCAAAACCCACCACGAGTGACATGCTTCCTCCAGCATGGCCACAGCTCCTAAAACAATAGAAAACAGCACCACAATTAGGGACAAAATGTCCAAATACTTGGAGCCTATGGGGGACACGCTCACTCAAACCACCAGTTTCTCAGAGTGCACTTTAGTGGAATTGTACCTTGGTTTGTTGCTGGGACCAAGGGAAGAGGGGTGGACACTGTTTACATCTCCCTCGGGGAAGGGATTTTAGCAATGGTGACTGTTCTGGGAGCTCAGCAAAGCAGCTGAGGGGAACCTGCAGTGATCACAGTGAGATCCAGAAGGAGCTTGTCTTCTTTTTGCCCTTCTTCCTTGCTTCAGTTCATCTTGCTCTTTCTGAACAGATACTTTCTGAATTAGAGATTTTGAGTATCATTTTATGGTGTCTATAGATTTAAATGCTTAGAGTATTTATATGATTTATTTTAAATCTCAGCAAAGTTAAATTTAAGCTTAAAAAAGATTCATTTACATTTTATCTGTATGAGTGTTTTGTCTGCCTAGATGTAAGTATACCCAACACTCATGCAGTGCATGCAGAGGCCAGAAGAGAACATCAGATCCCCTGAAGCTGGCGTTACAGGCTGTTGTGAGCTACCATGTAGGTGCTAGGAACCAAATCCAAGTCCTCCGTAAGAGTTCTTAACTGCTGAACCATCTCTCCAGACTCCAGATTTAACCATTTTGAAAATTTTGGGACAAGAAGGCTAGAGAAATGGTTCAGCATTAAAGGGCACTGGTTACTTTTTGAGAAGACCCAGGTTCAGCTCCCAGCACTCACATGGCAGCTAACAACCTTTTGTAATTCTAGTTCCAAAGGATCAGGTGCCCTCTTCTGGCCTCCATGGGCATTGCATGCATGGGTACACTTACATATATGCAGACAAAACACCTATAAAAATAATAAGTCAGGCATGGTGGTGCACACCTTTAATCCCAGCACTTGGGAAGCAGAGGCAGGTGGATCTCTGTGAGTTCAAGGCCAGCCTGGTCTACATAGTGAGTTCCAGGACAGCTGGGGCTACAGGGAGGCCCTGTCTCTAAAAGACCAAAAAAAAAAAAAAAATTAATTAATCAATTCATTTAAAATTAAAAAAAATTTGAGACAGGGTCTCTTGTAGTCCAGGTTGACCTTGAATTTGCTCTGTAGTTGGTAATGACCTTGAACTGATCCTCCTACCTCTGTCTCTCAAGTGTTAGGATTATAAGCATGCACCACATCCAGTTTATGTGGTGCTAGGGATCCAACCCCGGGTTTTGTGCATGCTAAGTAAGTACTCTACCAACTGAGCTACACCCTCAATCTAATTTAAGTGTTATATTTGAAATAAATTTTTTTTTTCTTTTGGTCTTTTTGAGACAACATCTCCCTGTAGCCCCAGCTGGCCTGGAACTCACTATGTAGATTAGACTGGCCTTGAACTCACAGAAATCCTCCTGCCTCTGCCTCCTGAGTGCTAGGACTGAAGGCATGTGCCACTATACCCGGCTATTTGAAACAATTTTAAACTAATATTAGTAGGCAGTTCAAACATGTCTAGTTATATTTTCAGAAGAGAAAAAAAAAACTCGAGATGCATAACTTATTGCATTGCAGAATGTGCTTACATCACTTCACATATGAAACAAGTTATAGCTGGGTGTTGGACCTTAGCACCACTCAGAAGAGAAACTGGCCAAACACTGGCACACAAACTAAAGGAATGACATTGGACAAATGGACTTGTCTTGATGGTGAAATTCACTGGGCAAGGGCAAAGGAGACCCAAGTGCGAGCTACCATTGGCAGAGTTGATGCTCTGAGGGAAAGATGCCCGAAGTCTGGGGTGAGGACTCAGACTGCACAGAGAAGCTGCTAAACCACAGCCCAATTCCAGGGTGACTGTTTGACACTGGGTGGCTCTTGCCACCCAGAATCAAGTAACAGATCTGTTACAAAGAAGTCCTGGCTCCCACTTATAGGTTGTTTATTTTTATGATTGAACTTAAAAAAAATTTTTTTTTTGAGACAGGGTCTCCTTGTAGCCCAAGTTTGCCTAGAATTCTCTGTGTAGACCAGGTTGGCCTCCATCTCACAGAGATCCACCTGCCTCTGCCTCCCCAGTGCTGGGATTAAAGGTGTGCACCACCATGCCAGGCCCATGACTGAACTTCTAAAATACTGACAGTAACTGTGTCTCCATACTAAATCATCAAGGCAGATCCCACTACATTTGCTTCTCTGTTGACTTGAAAGCAAAGGAACTCTAGTAATAGTATTCTCGTTTCAAGCCTTCCATGAAACCTGACATAAAAGGGAAGTTTTAAAATTTTTTATTATTTTTTTTATTTTATGTGTGTGAATATATTGCCTACATGTATGTAAGTACACCCATGTCATACAGTGCCTGTGGAGGTCAGAAGAGAGTGTCGGATCCCCAGAAGAGCAGCCAGTGCTCTTAACCATTGAGCATCTCTCCAGCCCCATTTTTAAAAAAAGAAAGGGGGAAATATTTAAGAAAGAAGTTAGTGGGGCTGGCGAGATGGCTCAGTGGGTCAAGGTGCTTGCTGCTAAGATTGGCAGTGTGAGCTCAGTCTCTCAGACCTACAAGGTGGAAGGAGAGAACCTATTGCAGAAAGTTGTCCTCTGACCTCTGCATACGTGCGATGGCACATGAATACTCATACACGTACACATGTAGGCACACAAATAAAAATTTAGTTAAAAATAAAAAAACGAAATAAAGAAGTTGAGAAACATTTGTAGTTAATAGAAAAATGGTGAAATATTTATACTGTCTTCAGAGAAAATATCACCTTCCAGAAGTTTCCAGCATCCAGTACATGCAGGAAGCAGGAAGGTGTGGAGGAAGGACGTTCACAGCCCTCAAAGGTTCTTTTCAGGGCCCTTTTGGAGGTCAGAAGGCAGTGTAGGCGCTAATCCCGCACTGGGACCTTCTGGAATGCTCTTCCTTTCCAGATCCACTGGGATGTGACTATCCAGGGGAGACTTTGTTCTCCTTTGTCTGGTACACCTTCCTCTACAGTGCCAGCCTGGATCAGATTGTGCTGAACATGCCTCTTATTTTCTCTTTTGGAATCTTAGATTCTAAATGAGGCCTCATGTCATGATTTTCTTTAATTCTGCTGCTGCTCTGCTTCTGTGGAGGGAATACATGGCAGTGGTTCTGAGTTTGAGTGTCCTCTGAAGGCCTGTGTATTAGAGGCAGGGTCTCCAGTTTGGTGCTATTGGAAAATGGTACTGGGAGATCTCTGGATTGGGGGTGTACTCTTGGAAAGGATTGTGGGCCACAAGTCTCTCCTTTCCCTTCCCCTCCTCTCCTCTTCCGTCCCCACCCCAACTCTCCTGTCCTCTCCCTTCCCCTCCTCTCCCCTTCAGTCCC